CATTCGCAATCACTGCCTGCCCAGAAACGTTTTTTGAGAATACTGCAGTTTCGAAGGCCGTGAAGAAAGAAATGAAAGAATACGAAACAACCACACTTTCGACTGGAAACAACATAAGCTGTTCGACTCCTAAAAAACCAGATTTTACGGAGCTCTGCACAGTCCCATGCTGTATATGCGGTAGTATATGAGGAATACCAACTCGTAAAACATCGTTCGTGAACCCGAAGTGGCTCTGTGAGATACATCCGTTACTACAGGTACTCAAATGCCGTTTAGCCATAACCTGCTTAAATGCCCACTTACCAACTAGGAGCAAAGGAGCAGGGCAGCAGACCGTGAAATTTGGTCTTCGAAGAGTCATTCGTTACCCTCAACTCTGTAACATTACAGTAAATCCGACTGCACTCGCATTGTCCTTGCGGATCATAACGTGCCAATAGCAGATATGAATATGGGGGTTACATGACTGGTTTGATCAAATCGATTTGCAACCATGTAACATGTGCATCGCGAAAAAAATTTCTTACTACTACCGGAAGAACCAATAATTAGTTTCCGTACCGATTTATTCGGCATACAAGAAATGGTCTGAAAACCTGTCTTTCGGAGAGACCTGCTGTTTGGACGGCGAATGACCTAACTCAACCAAAGTGCACATACAACGTTCATGGAGACGATTTCCACAGATCCGAAAATTTGTAGTAAATATAGAATGATCTCTGCTTGTGCAAAACTACCCCAACAGCGAATCTTGCTATATCTCCTTACGACAATTTTGCTATATTTCCCAATCCAGAAAAGAATAAAACTAGCCGATGATCAATGGTTGATGAAACGCTGATGTTGAAAACATTCACTTTGAGCTGAATTTTATCACTGCTTCTCTGCACCTGCACATTTTCCGTTCAGAGATTCTGTGCTGATGCAGATATTGCCGCTCAAGCAAAAAAGGTTTATTGAATCAATGGTTCAATGACGTAGTCATGTACTTGAAAATTGCGCATTTCTTTCCTTGCAGTCTATTGATGCACAACGAAAGCAATGATTGCCCAGACCGAAGTTACAGGTCGTGTTTCACGCATCTTCTTTAAAGTAACGAAATTGGTTGATTTTTTCGTCGTTCGAAGCTGTTAGGATGTTTGCAGTCATTTGATTGGAAAGTCGGTAGTCGTCCAAATCTGACTGATCATATTATTTGTAATGCACATAAATAAACCGTTTTTTGCTGCTTTCAATCGCACATGTCGTACGTTCTGAGATAATCACTCCAGAATACTACGTTACTATCATTAACCTTGTCAGACTTAAAAAACAGTTTCTCGGCGGCTTGCATAAAAGCACAGTATAATGAACCGCTTTTGGGGAAATAATTGAGAATTTTATAAGAAAACTGTACACCGTGAATATGGTTTGAATCATGCATCTGTTAAGAAAATTACCATTCACCGCTCTTTTATATCGAACTAAGACAGTGCAACGATGTACTTCAATCAGTCAACATGAAAGCCACGCTTTCTTTCCTTACGAAAGTCAACTTTCAAAGTGCCCATCATACTTTACAAAATAGTAGGTAATATTCAAATGAAATTTTTAAGATCTAGGCAGTGTTTCAAGGATTGAAGCTTATGCACATTACTTATACAGATTTTTTGGTTTAAATATTTGAATTCTTAATCAAAAAATGCGCAGCCACTACTGATTCCTGAGCAATATTGGCAAAGAATATGCATCAGGTGTCGAGCCGCCTGCAGATGTCAACCCCTTCTTTTCTTGAGTGACGAGCTGGAGTAATTTTGAATTTCTTATCCACGAAGGAAAGGTCGTAATTGCATCCTGTTCATGCAACTAAATAAACTTCAATCGCAAATTAGATCCCCTTGAAAACCTGACGGATGCAGCAGCTGAAACTACCGGTAAGCAATGATTAGCTGCTACAAACTAAATGATCATGCGGTCAGTGGCAACGACGGGAATAAAAATTCACTTAAAAACGGCTAGCCACTTTTGAATCGCGGAAAAGTTTTCTGATGATTCGGGATCAGCTGAAACCTAGAAACTGCTGATCTGTCATACTACAAGTGTAATATTTCTAATTTTTAATCCTTTGTACGTTATGCGATCTGATCTATTCATCTAGGACTTTCTTCGTGATTTCGACAAAAAGCAGATAGCCGATCGCCATTTTGCGAGAATTTGCAGCGTAAACGCAATAAACGAAATATAATTGCATGAGTACGAACGACAAGTTTCGTTTACGTACAATTTCAAAATTGTTAGGGAAGAGTATATACTACCCTGATGTATCGCAACAATAGGACATCTGTTACAAAGTCAATCAGTCATAAGTGGAATGATATTGGTGATAATGGACAAATCACTAAGCTTGCTGCAAAATATATTTTGGATATCAGATTTAAAGTACTTGATTAGTCACGTGATATCGATGAACCTTAGCATGTAAGGAATGGAGTTTGACGACATGCCGCAGCATCAGCAATTCCTAAATTGGTTCCGTCAGCAAAGAAACCGTTGTTTGCCTGAGTGCGGCTGCGCACCTCCTTTTTCCATAAAACGTACATGTACTTAAGAGAATATTGATATTCAAATGTCTGAGCAGCATGTCAAGAAAAAACATTATATTCAAAAAGCCAGAAATAAAACATTTCGCGTTTCATCGTCCAATCCTAAAGAATAAAAAATTAATAAAACAATTCCACGGAAAGTTTACTACATGACTCGCTGAAACTATGCTATACATAAAAACATCGCGTCATCTAAGAAGTTCAGAAAACTGAGTCTTAAGTATGAAGATAAACTCTGCCACTGACTGCTCAGTTAGCGCCCATGTATCTATCGATGACTTGTTCATTACCTTGAGGCTCATCTACGCGGGCAAGCCCTTGAAAGATTTCCTATCACATCAGAAGCCTAATACTGCCGACTGAAACGAATAGTGAAAAACGATGATTATCCCAAATGAAAGAACTAAATTTCCACAAAGGAGTTAAGAGTCCTCATTTTATGAATGTTGAATGTTGACCAGCACTGCCCTTACCGCTTCCCTTAGCAATCGAGTAGTACGCTCGGTTTTCAGCAGGGCTGGTGCGAATGAAACTTTGAACAGCTGACATCGAAACGTTATGCATCATCTCTACGTTGCCAAAACAATGTCTAAGAAAACTACGGTACAGAATGTAAGCTGGGCTGGCCACGGCGGTTTTAGTTTTCACTCGAAACGCTACTGGACACATCAAACACGTCTGATAGTTTATTGCTTGAACAACCGCTTTGTCTCTGATGAGTTTATATCATCCTAGAATATGCGAGACTTCGAGTTATTCGAAGTACGACGACCAGAAGTCATGACAGTGATCGCAGCAGTCACAGAAACAATCAAGATTCTGCTTCTTCAAATATGGTCTCCAATGAGAAGACGCCTTCCGGAATTTCTGAAGTTACAACAGCCAGTATCACCGTGATATCGTCCGGTTTGCCTCCTAAAAGTATAGTTCTTCACGTACGGTAACAGATAGACATAATCTACATATGTTAGATAAATTAAAGTATGTTAAACATACATTATTCTTTGCGATCTGCAATAGTCAGCCAAGTTCCCTAAAACGTGAGAACAGTCCATGTGACTAGTTT